AAACTGAGCAGTAGCTAGATTTTAAGAATCTGAGCACCTTAATGGAGACAAGATGGACTTTATATACAGAAAGACTGTGGGAAGGATCTAGGAGTGGCCAAGTAGTCTTGGGGGGGGGGATTGTGAGGTAATAGAATGCCAGGGACTGGGACCTGGACCACGTGGCCAAGGGAGAATAGAGTGTAGATAGGATTAAGGGTGGGAAGTAGCCTGGGGCCATAGGGAGGTAAGACAATAGAGGGCTAGGCTAGGTTAAGGGTAACAGAGAATTGGGAGATTGGGCATAGGAAGATAAGGAAAGGCCAGGCCATGTGGTAAAGTCTAGGGTTTTTCATTTCTGGGGTCCAGATCCCATCCCCATCAAGATCTGGTCAATTTCTAAGACTTTTCCTTCCTACTTTTCTCTCATCCAAAAGTTTTTGTTTTGTACTGTAGTCCATTTATTGCTTTAATGTCTCCCCTAACCAGATGATGTCCAAATCTATATATTCATCCCCAAACTCTAGTCCTGTATTTCTAACTATTGGCTGCACATCTTCCCCTGAATGCTCCTTCAGATTCTCATATTAACATGTACAAAGTGGAACTGATCTTTCCCCTTTGACCATTTTCCAAATTTCTCTATTTCTTCTGATGGCACCACCATCCTCTCAGTCACCTAGATTCAAACCTTCAAAGTCATCTTTGACTCTTCCCTCGCTCCCATTTCATTGCCAAATCCTATTGTTTTTTTCTCTGCTGTATCACTTGTATCTACCTCCTCCTCTTCACTTTTATCTCAACCATTTTCTTACTTCTCCCATAGACTTTTAAAATAGCTCCCTAACTGGTTATCATGCCTCTATTTATCTCCTTTCCAAGATACTTTTCATTCCATTGACCAAATGATCTTACTAAGGAATTGCTATAATTGTTTACTTATTTGTATAATTGTATAATTATTTGTATAATTGTTTGTTTTTTATCACTTGTCTACTCAAAAACCTGCAGTGGTTCCCTGTTGCCTACTGAATAGGATACAAACTCCTAGTTCTGTCATTCAGGGTACTCATTAACTTGGTTCTTACTTAATTTTCCAGGTTTATTTCACTTCTCTCCCCTTCATGTTTCATTGTCCTACCTTCCACTCCTCCTCATCCTGCCATATCCTGTCTATAGTCTTTGCTCATTACATTCCCCCAGGCCTGGGCATACCAAGTAGATAGTGATAGAGTGGATAGAGTGTTGGGCCAGGAGTTTGGAAGACCTGATTTTAAATCTGGACTTAGATATTTCTTAGCTGTGTGACCTTGGACAAGTCACTTGATCTCTCTTTGCCTCAGTTTTCTTATCTGTAAAATGGGGATGATAATAGCACCTACCTCACAGCATTGTTGTAAGGATCAAATGAGATACTATTTGTAAAAAGTGCTTATCAGAGTACCTGACACATAGTCAGTACTATATAAACACTTATCCCCTTCCTCTTTGCTTCCCCTCATGCTTGAAATAGATTACTTCTATACTTGTCATTGTCTGTTGAAGTCTTTCCCTTTTTTCAAAGCCCAGATGAGATGCCGTGAAGCCTTTCTTGATCACCCCAGGTGAAAGTTGTACATTCTCTTCAAATTTCTCATAATACTGCCTAGATCTCTCATTTGAACTTAATCTGACTTATCCTTGAATCATAGTTTGTATACATATGTGTACTTGCCATTCTTGCTAGTCATTAAATTACAAGTTACATTAGAGCAGAACTTGCATTATATCTTTTATTATATACACAATGTCTTGCTTTGTGTAGGCAACTGTATATCCCACTCTTGTGAAATGCCATGTAAAATACATTTGGGGGAATAAATGTATAATACTATTAACTTTTAACCACTGTCAATTCCCAGACTGTCCAAGTTCATAGAGGCATCAGCATGGTATACTAGAAAGAATTTTGGATTTGGAGTCAAAAGATCTGGTTTTAACTTTTCAGTTATGCTATTTGCTATCAGTGAATTTAGGTAGATCACTTCACCTTCTTTGGCCTCAGCTTCTTCAGCTGTGAAATGAGGGGCATATTGTGGAGGAATGTGTGATGATGTAGGTGGTGAAGTAGATAGCTTTCTTAGTACCTTCTGACTTTGGGCATCTTTGATTCTACATTATAGACTTGTGAGAGAAATGTGTTGTAAACCACAGTAAATTGGAGGAACTTCCAAATGAGTGTTGCCATCATGGTGAAAGGCCTCAAGACCATGTTATATGAGGATCATTTGAAGGAACTGGGAATATTTAACTTGAAGAAAAGACAAGTTAGTAGGTTATGTAATCATCTTCAAATATTTAAAGAGCTGTCCCTTGGGATAAGATTACATGTGTTTGGCCTGGTCCTAGTGGTAAGAAGTAGAAATAATGGATAAAAATTGCAAAGAGGAACATTTAAGCTTCATGTCAGGAAAGACTTCTTAACAATTATAGTTGTCTCAAAGTAGAATGGGTGGCCTTGGGAGAGAGTAGATTCTGCTATCTCCAAGTAGTTCAGTAGGCATCTTTAAATGAAGGTTGGAAATGTTGTAGAAAGGTTTCTTGATCAGGTGTGGATTGGACTAGATGTCTTCTAAGTCCTTACCAAATGAAGTAATGTATGTAGAGATCTTTGCAAACTTTAAAGCTCTGTGTAAATACAATCTATTATTATTCCAACTCTCACATTTGGTGATTGTATGATAAAGCTAAACTATTATCATTAGTAATGTGTAAGTTTGCATTCATCCTGTGTACATTTTCTGTTCAGAAATGGAGTTCTAACCTGAGCTCTGAAGGACAGGCTAGGAATCCAAAGTTTACCGCATATAAACCGTAAAGTAAATATGAATCACTTAGAAAAATTAAGAGCTGGCTCAATCAACAGGTTACACAGTAAGTGAATAAATAGTCCTCTAAAAGTTTGTGGAAAACATCCATCTTCCCCCCTACTGGTAATATTGAATTCCATCGTCGTATCTTTTTTACAAAGCATTTGCAATTGTGTCCAAGGGCACAGAAATGCCATTATTGTATGATGAGGAACATGATGATCATAGTTACATTGATTCTTCCAGGGATCCAATGAGAATAAATCCTGATTAATAATGCTTGCTGGGGCAGCTAGGTGGCACAGTGAACAGAGTGCCAGATCTAGAGTCAGGAAGACCTGAGTTCAAATCTGGCCCCAGACACTTACTAGGTGTGTGTACCTGGGCAAGTCACTTAACTCTATTTGCTTCAGTTTCCTCATCTGTAAAATGAGCTGGAGAAGGAAATAGCAAACCACTTTAGTATCTTTGCCAAGAAAACCCCAAAAGGTGTCACGAAGAGTTGGACACAACTGAAAAAATGACTAAACAACAAACAACAGTAATGCTTGACTAACTTTAGCATTAATATGGTTCATTTTATTTCTAAATCATCAAGCCTTTGTGAAACATTGTCTTTTAGCAGCTTGTAAATTCAAGGTTGTCAAAATGAAATTTTTCTAGAACCCAAAATGAATTTTTCTTCCTGAAGATAATCATAACTTTGTCTTTTGCTTTAATAGACATGACCAAATTTCTATTTTAGTTTGACAGTATGCCCCACAAATCAGTACAGGCTGTTTTGAAGATACAATATCCCTACAGGTTTTCAGTTGTAGTTGTTTCACTTTCTGAACTGAAATTAATGACCCTATTAATATATTTTCAATTTTCTAAGTGACTTTTCCACATGTAGTTGGCAAAATCCTCTCAGATTTCACATATCACCTGACTTGCCCCTCACTGATGCATTTATCATGAGAGAGAATACAAGTTGCAAACCTCAGAGCTTCATGTAAATGCTTTTTTGTTGTTGTTCAGTCATGAGTGGCTCTTTGTGACCCCATTTGGGGTTTTCTTGGCAAAGATACTAGAATGGTTTGCCATTTTCTTCTCCAACTCATTTTACAGATGAGGCAACTGAGGCAAATAAGGTTAAATGACTTGCCCAGCATCACATAGCTAGTAAAGTGTCTGAGGTGGAATTTGATCTTAGGTCTTCCTGACTCCAGGCCAGCTGTTCTCTCCACTGCACCACTTAGCTGCCCAAATGCTAGCTAAATGTCACCTATTATCATGCAATGTGTGTATTAAGGCTAATGATATAGGGGTCTTATCCTGTGGTAGACTGGAAATTACATGAGGGCAAGACCATGGCTCAGCCAAACTTTGTGTCTCCTCCAACTTTTTTTGTATTGTTTTTTGTGCTATATTTTGTGCTATATTTTACTGTGTTTCATGTGTTCACAGGGGAAAGATGGCAGTTATATCCATTATATCAATTTCTTGATTAGTTCTTAGACATGTTAAGTCAATTTAATAGCTAACTTTTTTTCCCAAGAAAATGTTCTGTGAAGGAACAAATGGGAAGACCCAATTAGTGCAGATATACAAGCAAAGCATTGTTTAAGTTTATAATATTTGTACTTCATACCCAGACAAAGCTTTTCAAGAAAAGCCTCCACTACTTTTATGTTTTGGTGTAAATGGAAAATAGACAATAGTGTCACCAATCCAGCAGGCTTTTGTCATGGCAAAAAAAAAAATTGTACATTTTCTCACCAGAAAACACAAGCTAAATACCTGGAAAGATGCAATTGTATTATTGAAGGAATTTTTTTTTTAAATTAAGATTTCTGCAGCAAGGAAAATCAATCTGCCTAGTGATTTAAATTTTTAATACTTTTTCATAATTAAAAACATTATATGAATTGGTTAGACAGGTATTTTTAGAAAAAAAATTGACATTGAAATTGCACACTAAGATATCATGAGGTTCTAATAAGATCAGAGCAAAAAGGACCGTTTATTTTCAAAAAGAAAGTTTTACATGGCATGTTACATATTCACTTCAGTCATTATTTTATGAAAGTGATGACAGCTGAGGAAAGGTGGAAAAGTTTTCATCAGAAAAGAGTTCTAGAACAATGGTGAACTGTTTTAGAAAAAGGAAGAAGAGTTAGCAAGCCTTACGTTTGGTGATCTCCAAGCGGTCTCTGTCCAATGGACTTTAACAACGCCTCTGGTCGGACTGCTACTTTTGGTGAAGTTTTGGGGCTAGAGTCAGATTCTCCGCTCTCCTCATCTCCCATGGCTTTAATATAACTCCCACTCCTCATTCTCCTGCAGGGTATCTCCTCATCTTTCCCGCCAGTGGGGTACCCTCCCCATTCATCTTGAGGCACCTGGGACATAGCACAAATACACAACACACATATATCTTGTTATATATAGGGGCTTTTTTATTTCTGGCTACTTTTTTCTTCTAAGAATTTCTACTGTCTTTTGAAGACATAAGTCTGTGTGGTTATTTATGATTTAAAACTCAAGACATAAAGGAAGAGCTCATCTTAACATTATACTCTTCCCATCCTAAAAGGAAATTGAAAACAGAATAAAGTTGAAATGAGAGTTGTTTACCGTATATTAAGTATAAACCAACTGATTACTTGAGTTTGGAACTTGTGCTGAGCTAATGGCTATATCCAGATGGAGGAGTGAATTACATGCCCGGGGAGCCAAATTGTATATTTAGGGAGCAGAATCAAACTGTATATATCACTTTTCCAAGAAACACACTATTCCTTGACTCTTTAAAGCAAAGGAGAATCAGAACTCTTTGAGAACAGGAACTGTTTTTTGTATTTTGCCTTTCTGTATCCCTCCTACCTACCTACCACCATACCTGGAACATAGTAGACACTTAACAAAATACAAATACTTGTTGGTTGTCTGACTTTTGCTTGCTCTTTTGTATAGAGGTGAACTGTACATAAATTGGTATTTTTTTCTTCTATAATATGTTATCAGCTAAGATTCTACCTCTGCCTCATTCAATGTTTGTTGATATTCTTCAACTTTGAGTGTTAACTTAAATATGACAATAAAGTATATTAATACCTTGCTATTTGTTATGACAATGAAAAATTCCATATTTCCTATGTTAAAATAAGCAAGCTAAAAAATGGGAACAGGCTTAACAACAGGATTGTTGTGTTTGTTTGCTTATTTTTCCTGTAGCCAAAAGATTTTTTTCTAAGCTGTGCCTGCAGCTCTGGGTATATATTTCAACTTGAATGAGCATCTGGCAGGCCTTGGTAAAGTTGACTATATGGTCAAATCCACATTTTTGAAAGCCAAAAACATCAAGCAAAAGGTGACATTTTAGTTTGGTAAATACAGCATAACATTTGCTGGACTTTTTACACATCAGTCTCAAGTATCATGTAATGAAAATGCCTTGTACTGTGAATATAGAAAAAAATCAAAAATTGAAAAAAAAAAGAAAAGAAAAAATTGTCATCTCTGGGAATAGCCATTCCAAATTTCCTATTTCAGAACTCCATATTTTAAGTATTTTCAGTGAATACATCTCCCCCATCATATATTTCTCGATTTTGAATGTTAACTTGAATATGACAATAAAGTATCCTTAGTCCTCTTATTTTTTCTCCCTATATACTCATATTTCATGATCTCAACTTCCATGAGTTCAATTATCATGTCTAGGCATTTGATTCTTAGATGTTTATTTAACCCTAGTCTCTTAAGTGTACTCCATTCCCTACATTACTACCTGCCTATTGGACATTTCAAACTAAATATCCCCAAAGAATCTGGTTAACTATTTCCATATAGAATTCTTCTTTCCACAAATCCACCCTTCTTCTGAACTTTCATGTTTCTGTTGAGGGAACCACTTTCTTTTCAATTACTCAGTTACACAACCTTGGTGTAATCCTCAACTCCTATCTCTCAGTCACCACAAGTATCCAGTCAGTTGACAAATCTTGTTTCTTTCTCTATAACAACTTTCATGTATGTTTACTTCCCACTATTCACACATCTGCAACTCTAGTTCAGGCCCTCATCATCTTTCTCCTGGACTATTGCACTAGCCTTCTACCTTAAGTCCTTCCCTCTTCCCATCTGTCTTCCACACAGCTGTCAAAACAATTCCTTAAGCATAGATTTCACCAAATAATGGTCCTCCCCACTGAATAAACTTCAAAGGCTTTCCATTACCTCTAAGATTAAATATAGACTCCTCTGCTTGCCATATAAAGCTTACCACCTGGCCTGTTCCAATCTTTTCAATCTTTATTCTTCTCCAGACTATATCCCCGATTCTCCCTGACTTTTCTTACAATATCCCACAAACCTCTTCATTATGGAAGCTCACTTTGCCCCTGGACTTCATACATTCAGGTCCTGGTAGCCCTTCTTTCTGATTGGCTGGTTCCTTTTAGAACCTCCATTTTAAGCAGGAGGCCCAGGTCAGACTTATCTTCATACCTCTACAGGCTACATTCCTGACTTTCTCAGACTCTAGATTTTGTCTACAATGCCTTATGCCAGGTGCCTTCATTTCCCCCCCTTCTTCCTTTTGGCTCCCTTTTATGTGTTTTCTTGACACATTAGAATATAAGTTACTTGAAATCAGGAGTTTTCTTTCTGCTTGTATTTATATTCCTTGTACTTATCCCAGTGCCTGACACATAGAAAGTGCTTAATAAAACCTTGACTTATTTGACATTACATTACTCCCCTCTACACACTCTGAGGTCTAGCCATGCTGGCCTACCTGATGTTCCTCATGAACATACCCGCTCTTCTCTCTGTCTTTGTATTGTCTGTTCTCCATGATGTCCCCTCTGAACTCCTACTTTTAGAATGCCTGGCTTCTTTTAAGACTCCATTCAACCACTATCTCATGTAGGAGAACTTGCCTAGTCCTCCAGCTACTGGTGCCATCCTCTGTAAGGATACCTTCCATCTACTCTGTATTTGTCTCATATTTGTTGATTAATTTCTGTTTTTTCCTGCATCAGAATGTAAATTCCTTGAGGACAGGGACTGTTTTTTCTTCCTTTTTATATCCCTGATAGTTAGTATAGTACATGGTATATAGTAAATGCTTAATGGATGCTTATTGATTAATTAAAATGGGATAATGTAGGTAAAATGCTTTCCATATCTTAAAACACTATATAAATATGAGTTATTATTATGTACAAGTACTAGAAATATCTGTGATTTTCTTATTCTGAGAAACTTGTCCTATCCAGATAGATCTGTAAACCTTCTGTGATTTAGTAAATAAGGTCTCAAGAGTGTTCTGAGGCAAAAGTTAAGTGATTGCCTAGTGTCACACAGGGAGTAGTGTCAGAGGTGGGAAATAATTAAAGGTCTTCATTATTCCAAGCCCAGCACTGTCTTCACTAAGCCAGGTTGACTTTTCATACTGTCAGCTGAAAAAAAGATGCTACTAGCACTCCATTCTAATCTTTCTATTCTGTTACAGTTAGTCAAGTATTTTATTAAACTGAGACCTAAAATCATGAGACATGTTAGAACCTACTATTAAAAGCCCTTTTGATTTATTTTCTAAAAAGTACATGTCTACAACATTAATATGAGGTATAATTCATTGCCTTCAGTATAAAAAGAAAGAACAGAGAAAGTAAAGAGGAAAAGAAACATTTTTTTTGAAGGTAGATGACACAGTAGAAAGAACACCTGGAGTCAGAATACTTGGATTCAAACACTGCCTCTGATGCTACTTGTATTTTCTAAGGCAAGTCACTTACTTTCTCTGAATCTCAGTTTTCTTAAATGTAAAATGAGAGGGTTGGGCTCGATGGCCTCGGAGGTCCCTTCTAGCTCCATATCTACGACCCTGTGGCAGGAACTTTATTACTGGCTCTATTTACATGGACTGTCCTTGAACTCTAGTGAGTAAGGAGTTAACTGGGTGACCTCAGTCAATTTACTGCACCTTTTTGGGCCTCAGTTTACTCATTTGCAGAATAAGCATTAATAGTATCAGTCCCACTTACATGTCTTAGACAAATCACTTAACACCTCTGAGTCTCATCTTCCTCATTTGTGCATTTTATTAGATAATATAGCATTATTCTATTCTGTTCACAATGCTGTAATGTACCAAATTCATAGGGTTGTTGTGCTGATCAAATGCTGTAACATATCTAAAAGTCAAATGTAAACCATAAAGTAACATATAAATGTCAAGTCTCATTACAACCTCACAGTATTGCTGTGAAGACCAACATTTTAGAAGGTATGTTGACGATATGGATAATATCTAGAGGAGGGTGACAGTGATGGTAAAGGACTTTGAGTTCCTGCCATATAAGCACTGGGGGCAAGTTAAGCCCAGAAGGGAGAGCCTGGTTAGGGAATGGAAAGATTGTAGCTGTGTTCAAATGTTTGAAGGGCTATAATGGAGAAGAGGGATTTGCTCTGCTTGACCTCAGAAAGCAGAACTAAGAGCCACAGGTGAAAGTCATAATCAATCACTCAAGTATTTATTGAGCGCTTACCTTGTGAGTACTGTTAGGGACTAGGGATAAAAGAGACACATCTATGAAAGCAAAACCTTTCCAACAATTGGAGGCATCCCCAGGTAAAAACTGCTGCTTTGGGAATCTCCATTCATTGGAGATTTTCACATAAAGACAGAATGAGAGGGATTTTTTTGGGGGGGGTGGTATTGGGACTAAATGGCTGCTATGGCCTCTTACAAAAGAAAGTCTGTGAACTTATAAAAATCATTTTGTAAATCATAAAATAATATAGATAAGAAGTCTTTCCTGATTCTCCTTAAAGGAAAGTGCCTTTTGGTTGATGATTATCTCAATTTTTTAACCCTACCTGTATCTTTTGTTGTGGACCTCATTGTCTGTGAGCTTTTTGAGAGCAGGGACTATTTTATGCCTTTCTTTGTATCCCTAGCATTTAGCAGGGTCCCTGGCACATAGTAGGCACTTGAAATGCATGTTGTCTGTATGACTATTATTATTATTTTAAAAAGAGGATAACATATTGAAAGTCCCTTGTAAACCATAAAGCAATCTATTCACGTCAGCTACTATTATCATATTATAGGGATATTAGAAAGATTGGTGAGATTCATGTATATAAAAGCATTCTGAACACTATGGGGCACTCTGCAAATATAAAATGGTATTATTATTGGCTTTCTTATAAAATGATGGTATCTAAAATTCCTTTTAACTAACATTCTATGTTTAATGTAATAACAATGATCATTGGAGGAAGAGATAATAAAAGAAGAATAATTAGAACTATATCAGAAAGAAAACCCATTAATATAAAAGGTTATAGTGGATGAATGGAAATATAATCCTATAATAAAAACATA